CTCCATTCTCCTCTCGGGATCTTGGGCACGCACGCACACGCGCCCGGCATGTTTTAAGCCACCGGGTCCGGGACGCGAACCGCAGTCAACTACGTGGGAGTCCAGCGACATAGCCATTACGCTAACTGCTGGTTCCCAGGAGTCCAGCACCTTTAACCACTAGGTCACCTGCTGGCCCCTCTGCAGTTTAAGTTTGACATTATCTCCAAATGAAAGACTAATTTTTTTGTTAGTTTTAGAAATTTTTGCTATAGGGTGCTTGCCAGAGAAACAGACAGAACGTGAGAAATAGTCCCCCAGTGGGGATGGCCACACTGCAATCCCTTCTCCTACATTCTCCTCTTGGGATTTTGGGCACGCACACATGTAAACCTTGGCATGAGTTTCAAGCTGCCCAGTCTGGGACTCAAACTGTGGTCGGTTAGGTGGGAATCATTAACTATTATACCACCTGCTGGTCCTGAAAAAAAAAATGGTCTTTAAAATAATGTATGGAACATTCTTTGGGGAGCTGAATGGTTCCCCCTTGTTAAAATATGTGTGTTTTATGCTAAATATGCAAATAACATGTTTTAGCATTATTATTCAAAGCTAACATTAATTGAATACCTCCTATGTGCTAAGGACAGTCACATTAATAATCTCCCAAACATAATGCTAGTTATTAGTACTGATGAAGAAACTGAAGTACAGAGAGGTTTGGTAACTTGCTTATAGTCACAGGACCATTGAGTGACAGACCTAGGATTTGAGCCTTGCTCCCCTGATTCTAAATCTCTTACCTTTCACATGATACCACAGTTGCCTCAAGTTACAACTGGTTTGAACACAAAAATCTGTATTGTCAGCCTGACTTTCTGACCTATGACCAGAAGGTCAGTGGGAGTTTTCTCCCTTCCCTGGCTCCACTAGTGGTAATATCCTTGAGACTTGAGGAGCCAAAAAGGGAGGATCAGACTAAATGAACGATGTTTCTGTCTTTGCTTGATAAATGGAATTAGCATTCCTACATGAATGCTGAATTGTTAATTGCCTTCCTTAGGTTCATCATATACAACACAGCTATAGGCCTTGGCTGTACCCAGGAGGTATTTAAGAAAAGTAGCCCCATCTGAAAATCATGTTATCCTGTCAGTCTGTCTACTGACAAAAATAGAAAAGATAAGGCATGCTATTTAATTTTTTCCCTTTTCTTTCGTTTTTTTCTTTTAAATTTGCCAGAATGGTTGTGCTTTTCCCAGAGAGAGACAGAGAGACAGGGAAAGAAGAAAGCTACCCCCTCAATTCCACCCCCCCCAAACATGGGGCATGGTCTTGCCACAATCCCATCTCTTCAATCTCTCCCTCCTTTTGGGATTTGTGGGCATGCATAGACATACACCTGGCTTGTCTCTTAAGCTGCCAAGTACAGGACTCAAAATGCACTGTTGACCATGTGGGATTCAGCTCCCTTAAATCTAGCTGCCACAGATTGGCCCATAGTTAATTTTTTTTTTTTTGAGAGATTTTCACTGTAGGGCGCGTGCGCTCGCCAGACAGACAGAGAGAGACATAGAGACAGAAAGCGAGAAATCACCCCCCAGGGGGGATGGTCACACCGCAATCCCTTCTCCTCCATTCTCCTCTCGGGATCTTGGGCACGCACGCACACGCGCCCGGCGTGAGTTTTAAGCCACCGGGTCCGGGACACGAACCGCGGTCGACTACGTGGGAATCCAGCGACATAGCCATTACGCTAACTTCTGGTTCCCCGATAGTTAATTTTTTGAAGTTTGTTTCTTATATAAGAGAGAGAAAGGAAGGGGCACCCCTAACAGTGTCCTTATGCCACAATCCACTCCCAGCCTTAGCTCTCCTGGATCATGGGCCTATATACACAACCACAGTGCATAAGGGAGCCTTGGGATGAACCCAGAATCTTCTCATGTGGGTCTAGTAACTCAGAGTATTGTTATCATTGCAAATGGCATTGTTTATTCCATTTTTGGGGAAAAAAAATTCCTTTTTTTTTTTTTTTTGCTATAGCTTGTGTCTGCTCTCTGGGGAGACACAGAGAGACAGAGAGAGACAAAAAGTGAGAAATCACTTCCTGGGAGAGGGTGGCCTTGCCATAATTCCCTGCCTTCCATTTTATTGGGATTCTGGGCACATATGCACACATACCTGGAGTGATTCTCAAGCTTCTAGGTCTGGCACTTGAATTGTGGACTCTGCCATGTGGGATCCAGTACCTTAAACATCATGCCACCTGCTGGCCCCTATTTTTCTTTAAAGTTTACTTATTTCTTACATGAGAGAGAGAGGAAAAAAAGCAGAGTGAGAAGAACCTCCAACAGGGTCTTCATGTCACTATCCACCCTCAGTCTCAGCTGACCCAGAGCACAAGCACATGTGTGTC